TTTTTATAAATAATAAAATGTTTAAACTATACATGTAAAAAGTAAAAAAAATCATTTATACAAATAATTTCTCAGTTTGGCAGAGATTCGAGCCATTTCTGAAAATTTAGCACAGATTTGAAATATTTCGGTTGGAATCTCAGCTAAAGAAATTTAGAATGGTTCGTATTTCAGCTATGCCGATTTTGTTAAAATAATTTAACTATATCTTGTATTCAATTTTATTTCTTATGCATTTTTGTTGTACTTGTTAATGATAAATAGAAGTAAGAACATTACAAAGCTATAAACTGCCTGTGAAACTCAAATTGGGCCAAAATGAGAAAATATGACCTAAATATTTTTTGTACTTCTACATTTGTGTCAAATTAGGAAGAAATCGGAGTGTAACTTTTGGATAGATTTACTTTTTTGTAAGTGTATATATTTAAATAAAATATCTGTTTGTGTGTTCCCTATACATTCCTAAACCCTTTGACTGATCTGGATCAAATTTTGCATGATCACTCTCAAGGAGTCCACGGAAAATACAGACTACCTGGATACTGCTCGTCTTTTCTCTCTAATTTCATCCTTAATCACTCTGTGATAACTCGGTTGATACCTAGTAGTTTTAGCTTATTCGAAATATTACGTAAGGCGTAACGACGTTATTGTCCGGAAAGCGGATTTCATGGTTTCGGCTGAAGCGGCACGGAAGTTTTCCTGATTTACGGCTGTAGCGAGAAAGAGAGAGCGCGCAAGAGAGACAGAGAGAGAGAGAGAGAAGGAAAGTGAGAAAGGGAAAGGTAGAACGCGGCAGCTGCGAAAAAATAATTCTTCCGCTCATCGCGCCGCGCTCGCAGCTTCAACCCGTGACATAAATCACGGCAAAGCCGCCGTCTCTCACCTCGGCGATGGCGGACGGATGATGCGGAATTACCGAGCTGCACTTTGTAATATTAAAAGTCCGGATAATGTATCACTATTAGAATGTACCGCCCAGAAGTTACGCCTCGACACGCAGCGGCCGCCAGTGAATTTTTGCTCCTGTTTGGCCGAGCTAAGCCGCCGGAGATACTATTTTCGCGTTTAAACAACGGCACAGAATTGCGGGCTTATCTTACGCTTCATCCCGCCGCTCTCGCATTAATTTCGACGCAGCGCGAGGAATTTATCACTATTAAGCATTCGTTCTGTCCGGCCCATTGTTCGCCGACTCTAATTCCGCAATGCGCGATTTGTTTTATAAGCTCGCGCTCTCTCTGCGAACACGTGACGGCCTGCACGCGCGCGCGCATCTGTCTCGTTACAATATATTTGCAAACGTTATTATCTCCGCTTATGGGCGCGGGGATTATATATTCCACTTATTATTAATTTTTACTCGTTACATGTTTGTTACAATATGATACCGTTGTTATTATTATTACAAAATATATTCCTCCTCCGCGCGCACCTCAGCGCGGAATCATTAAGCCCAATGTACATGCACGCGGTGTCGAGATCTAAATTGCTTTACGTTCGCGATAAGCACGTACGAGGAGATATCGCAAATCGCACACAATCAAGAGATTAATTTATGCTTATTACCGTGGACTGTTCTTACGTTCTTACGTTCAAACGTTGTGTCGCTCCACGTTTTTTTAATCCGACTTCTGCCAACGGTACAAACAAAACGAGCGATGGCGTCGGTGTTGCTCGTTAAAGAGCGCGCAAGCATTTCGCGGAACGTCGAACAGAGCCGGGTGTCGAAAACGAAAGTATTCGCCGCACAATCGTAGAGAAATAAATATTTATACGTGTAAACGCTAAAACGGAACGCGTTGCGAAACGCGAAAGGAAGGGGAAGCAACGTGTACCGAGAGTCGTCGGTAAAATAAATTAAGCTCGTTAGATCTTGCTCAGGGAATCAACGACGACTCGGTTTGCAGGTCGCGTTTGCTTTAAACCTTCGCAAGCGGAATTAACTGGCAGGCAACGCCCACCTCGCGGTTTTACCTCGCCCCGAGCCGCACGACGAGGCTTAATTCGGCCACGTCGAATAACAAGGTGGCGAATAATCCCGTACTAGGTCAATATAAAACAAGCAGTTTCGTAACGCGATGCATTCGGAGAGCGCAACGCAAACGTCGCAATCAACGTGTCCGCCACGTAAATTGCTGACGCTTGATTCGCGAGCGAGCGTATGTCGCGCGCGTACGCGCGCTTGTATGGGTGTGAGTAAACGAGACAATCACTGCGAACAACAATAACGCTACAATATTGTAATTGTATCGTCGCTTTGCATTATCAACGTGCATAATAAATCGATAAATGTAACAATAACAGCTGTGACGGCGGATTTTTTTAAGCCCTTTCTAATGGAATAATTTCACTCGCGCCAACTACACGAGTAAAATGATACACATTCCCGAAATATTTATCAACCGAAACGGTCGCGCGCACACACATGTGTTCCAGCGTATAAATTTCAAGAATACGTAAATCGCGCGATTAAATAAAAAAAAAAAAAAGAAAGAATGAAAGACAGGAAGGAAGGCGAACACAGTCGATCCGAGGCATATATCACTTCGAAAAATTTGCAGCGAGCGATCGCACATAAAACAGCTCCTCGTAGTCGTCCCGCCCGTGAACGAATGAGCGTTTTGACGTATCATAATTTTCGCATCGATTCGCGTCACGTACGGAAACTACCGCCATAAAAACACTCACAGCCGAAGCGTAAAACATACCTCAAGCTATAAAGCACGCCGATCCCCATCCACAATTTTTCCTGCCGCTTAATCCCACGCAATCCCATGATGCAATATAAACCGCTCTGCAAGATTAAACCGAATATCGAGTGGCTTAATCCAAGTACATTCCGAGCGCTCATAGTCAATAAAAATGAAGATCGATATGCGGTCAATGAAAGTAAGGAGACACGATTGAGCGCGTTGTTAATTCGCCTCACGCGGTTTTACGTACATTTCCCGTTTATTCGCCCGGCAGACGACCCGAAATTTGCTGTTTGACAACGATTGAATTTCTCATACGAGCCATCCGTCTCTCTCTCTGTGTGCACGTGTACGCGTGTATCTGTATATCAGTCTCTCGCTGTAAGTTCGCCGGTTGCCCATAGCGATCGGCGAAGGCGAAGTATCAATCCAACGCGCGCGTTATAAAATGAACGCGCATCCATTTCGAGTGAATCCATCCGCTCCGGGCACGGTGATATGAAATGGCAAGTACGACTCGCACAAGTACCGATACCGCAGGGTGGTTTCAGCCGACGCGTAAAACGAGGTCGAAATAATTGGCATGTATAAGCGGCAAATAACGCACGAAAATCGTGACGAGCTGCTAATCGAAAAGGGCTGCATTATGCGCGCCGAACTTCAGCCCGATCCGGCTATAGCAGCTTTCACGCTGTTGCAATTTCCATTTTCATTAGTGTACGTGTACCGTACATACGGGCTCTTAATCGTGTACACGCCATCCGCAATTTACATCTCCGATGCGATCGCGAGTCTCCTAAGATCTTTGGTGAGAGCGAGAAAGCGAGAGAAACAAAAGAGCGACAGAGAGAGAGAACGTTTAACGTTATATGTTAAGCGCACGCGCTAAGAGCGGCGGGCATCTCAAAGGGTTAAAAGTTCAGGATTACCGAGGCGTCCCGCGCCGAGTTTCCTGGGAGTTTCCGTCGGAGCAGCCAGGTGCAAACGGATCCGATCGTCGAACGCGGCCAGAACTCACTACCGGGCCCCGAGGCGGAAGCGGCACTTTTTCGACTCGGATGCCGCAACCTCGTCCTCGTCGCCCTTCCAACGAACAAAGCGCGCGCGACCAATGATGAGCAAGTTTTCAATTCTTCGATCTTCAACTGCATCGCGGTCGTTTTATCCACGATCTTAAGTTTATTTTCACGGGAAAAATCACTCTCAAGCGAGACTCGTCGTCTCTCTATTTTATTTTCTCTCTCTCTCTCTCTCCCTCTCCTTCTCCCTCTGCCACTCTCTCCTTCGTGTCGATCTCGCTTGTTTATCGAATTTAACTTCGCACTTTTGAATGCGTTTCCTTCGTTCGGCTGACGACGGATGAGAGATCACGCGCACCGTGCGCCCGATAACTCACTCTGCGCTCGCTTTGTGGACACGTCGCTCTTTTCTCTCCCTTTTCCTTTTTTTCCTTTCTTTTTTATTTTTTTTTTTTTGAACAGCAAGTTTCAAAGCAAATTTACGGTGACCTCAATGTGAGTCTTCGTCTACTTCGATGGAAAGTTCTTTTTTCGAAAGTGTGGTTCGAGAGTGCCGCAAGAAGCGGAAAGACAGATCAAGTCGAATTTAAAACCGGGACGAGTATTCTCCCACAGAAAAAACACCGGCGCAACGTCGCTCATATTGTAATTTTTTTTTAATTTCGATATTAAATATTTCAACTGGATCGGGGAATTAAAATTCTGCAAAAGTCCGCTCAAAATTAATTTTCAGTTCGACAAATGAATTTTATACATATTCCCGGACACACACAAAATCGGTCTGGCAGAGACCACGTATAGCTAATCTTTTATATTTCTCCATCTGTAGAGTTCTTTAATTAACCATAAAATACGCATTAACTAACTTAATTTCACCGAGATCATCGATGGAATTCTTATGGAGAATAAAAGAGGAGGAGCAGCGCGCGTTGCTCTGCCAAGTCGATCTTACGGACGGACTGAAAGTTAAACGCGGACTAAATGCTTGTTATTATTTCTCTCCATCTTCCTCCTATTTCGCATAATTAGCGAGAAGATTTTTTCTCGCGATTGCTCGTTATTCACAAAGATTGTTGCTCTTTCACAAAGATGCATCTTCGTTTTGGCAATTTCAAGAGAAAATCCACCTGACGTTCCTCATAAATTGAAATTTGCAAAATCGCCCTGTATATGTCTGTACAATTTGCGAAAGGGGAGACGGTCTTCCTTGAAGACACGCTCGACGCAGTCGGGTTCGCGGAGAAGATGAGAGAATCGCAAGATAAGGACAAATATCACTCACCGAGCTGGCAACGATCTCCTCCCCTTCCGAGTGGACACTGGCATCTCTGCCTGAAGATTCCCTGCTTCCGCCTGAGGTTCACGCTGTTACCCTCGAGATCCATGACTCCCTCGTTGTCGTCCTCGATCAGCACATCAACTTCATCTCCACGAGATTGCTCGATATAACAATTTCCAGCCGGTCCGCAGTCCAAGGAACACGCTGGCTCGGTGCTCACGATGCTCTCCATCGTGGATGGCAGTTTTTGCTCCAGATTTGGACCCTGGAACATTCACGCGAATGGAAGAGATCAGTCATCGGTGACATTACATTGGATCACTCCGTATTGATCGTCGCGAATTCAAGACGAGATTAGAGAGAGAGATAAAGTGAGAATAAAGCCTGATCTACAATGTGTTCTTTGCTTCCTGTTTCTTGTTTTCTGTCTTTTTCTAGTTTAAAGTTTGAGTCAGGAAGAAATAAAGGAAAAGTAACAGGAAGCAAATAACACATTATAGATCAAGCTTAACAGACGCAAGAACTGTTTCATAGTACCCATATTATTACGCGCTTTCTTGCGACCGAAATATTTCTCAAATTGTTAACATTTATCGAGATGTAGGCACAGCGTAGTACGGTTAACAGAGTCAGGAGTATTAATTATATGGCCGGAAAATATTTCACGGTATCGCGCCATATTTCTCAACAAAGCAGCAGAGCTTACCACGGCATTTTCACGGTCGACCTCCTCATTCAGGCGTCGTCCGACAACTGTTGTGAGTCGAGTCTATGCGGCATTGTTATGCTTAACGTACGACCTTTGGCGGACAACTAGAGTAGAGAGCCGTAAACGACAAAAACTCTCATACTTTGTTTAGCGCGGTGTTGTGTTTATAAGCTTACGTTTCTTATTGTATTTATATCTCGATCGACTCCTGACTGAGTGGCGCATATCCGTGAGAGAATAACTGATATTTAACTTTGAGCATGAGTATGTTTTTGAGTAAGACCGAAATCCCGTCCCCCACATACGCAACATGATCGTTTCCCTCACAAGTTTCCAGCATCGTAATACACGAGGATAATGCACGAGCGTGGTATAAGCGGTCAAAGAAGATTATTTATGAGGACGATCCGTTATCCGACACCCTCATCGCCATTTATTGATCCTCCTGCTAGTCGTTGTCGATACGTAGTAGGGGAAAAGGCAAGAAATTTTCAGAAATAATGGAGTGGCCTGCTGCATGTTAAGAAAGCTGCAGCGGACGTGAAGTACCTGTTGCACGACTCATGTTTTTTATTTGACAAGGCTTTTGAATAAAGATTGGCCCTGGGTATCTGCGAACGCGACGGCGTACTTAACGTCAAGTGTCGCAAAATATTCAATTTACAATACCGCCTACACTTGTGCAGAAGGAAAGTCGCTTGAAAGGCTGGAGACTTTGTGACGCGGCTTCGTCGTCGTCGTCGTCGCGCGGCGTGCGAACGGAGCGTTGACGAAATTTCGATATCGTGGAAAATTCATGCGATTTAATGTGATTCCATTGAATTTTAATAATAACGCGAAATTAACCGACGTTAAACGTTATTCGTTCGCAATTAATTTCTGTTAATTTCCGTCGATTCGTATGTATTTTGCATTTCGTTAAAATCATGAATTAATTTCGCCGTTGTCCTACCACTCTCCTCTCTCCCCTGTCCTCCCTCCCTTCTTGTGTTGCCATTTTATCTTTGGCTTTCTCCGAACGCTGTCGAAACAAGAGATGATGCTTCTGGTATTGAAACAGAAAAGACAAAAAAAGGGAAGAAAAAGGGGATCGATGAACTTGCCAACTTCAGTGGCTCGCGCTCGCGCGGCTTGCAGACGGCTGCAGGCCGTTGTTCGTCAACAGTCGGTCGAATTCCCGATCTCGTCGTCGGCGAAACTTTACATCCACTGTCGTCGTATCGTGAATATTAATTCCAGTTCAAAGGAGAATTCCTCGGTTGGGAGCGCTCCCCACTTGTGCTCGATTTCGCGTAATCGCCATTTCTATAGCCGGCACACGGGCGGACATGCATACCCATTTACGTTCCTTTACAGAGCGTTCTATTCTGGCGCGCTCGACCCAAAGACGACGTTCGATTGATTCTCCCCGGTTTAGTACGAATGCGCGAACACGTTGATGCATTAATCAATTAAATCTGCCGGAGTTGGCGCGCGAATTCTTGAGATATTGACCAACCTCTCTCCCTACACACGTATGATATCCGGTATTTGCTCCGAGTCGACCGACGGCTCCAACTTGCGTTTACGTATCAGTTAGTCAAACCCGAGGTACACACGCATCTCTCTCGTCCACGTAACTCTCTCGTCGCGCGCGCTTCGATTTTACGCGCGATACATCGCGCGAAAAAGAACTGTCGATTCCAGAATCCGTAAAACACACAAACAACTCTGCGAGTTGTCGGGGTCCCCGACAATTTTGCGCACTGAGAAAAAATGCTCCAGAATTTATTTGTGGAATGAAAGTTTATGTTGCAAGAATAAAATTCATCTCTCGCAGAGATGCACTTTACTTCACAGGATTGGACTTTATATTTCGCAAATAAATTTTCAAGCATTCTTTTCCTTCTCAGTGCAGACGACGGGAACAAACTCGTCGTCGGCTCTAACGAGATTAATGCCCAAATGCGCAAGAATCCCGCGATTTTTATATCTCGACTCCACAACAGCTAGTATTTTCAATGATTCGTCGTTGCACGTCCCGTTCCCTCCAGCGTATGTCGCACGGTAAAATATTCGGAGGGCTGACGTTGAGACACGGTATTTTTATTGCATACACACACACACACACACACACATACACATAAACACACGGGTGGACCTTGGAATTTTTCTTTTTCGGTCTGTTTGTTTTCTTTGCTTTTTGTTAGACGCCACTCCGGAATCCCGCATAACGGATGGCCGTGACGGAACAACGTTCAAACACTCGCGCGCGACAATACGACGAGCCAACCGGCGAAATATGGCGAGTGACGTTTTACCTGAGACGTGGCGCGCAGCTCGACCCGATCCGCGCTGTTCTCCTCGTTTATCTTCGTCGCGTTCCTGCTAGAATTTTCAGCCGGGGCGTCCAGATGTATCGTGAAGGTTGCACCGCGCATGTAAAGGATGTCCTCGACCGCGTCTTCGTCGTCCGCGACGTCCACGTTCATCTCGCCGCTCTCGACCTCGTCGACGAACTCGCCGAGCTCGCTGGTCGACGGGGACGTCGAGTTGAGCTCTGGAACCGAATAACAAGAGAGGCGTTCCATGAGAGGCGTTTCCACTTCAATCTTCTTTTGATTTCGCGCAAACTTCCGCGGATAGTTCGCTCGCGGGTCGAGCGTAAGGATGCGAATATCGTCAAATATCAGGAGCTGCTGAACGAGGAGTGACCTCTTTTTCGGCAGCTTCCTTCTCGCGAGGAAACTGTGAAGGAGCAAGTGACAGAGAGCAGTTGCTCTCTAAAATATGATACAATGCGTGTAATCGGGACATCGCGCACGCGAAACAGCTAATAAATGTTCAATAAGAACGAAAACTCATTATCCTGAAATCGAATCATTATTAAAAAGCAAAGGGTAAAGGCAACTATGATTTTCTATTCCATGTCGACCTCGATTTTCGAGTCAATTCATCAGGCTGTCGGAATCAGACGCAACCAATTGTTCATTACGGCCCGCGCGCGCGCGCGCGCGTAGTTTTTCCCCCAGCCAATCCAATAGGGAATTACTTCATTAATTAAAAAAAAAAAAGAATACAGAGGGAACGCTAACGAAGCTCGACGTTCGCATCTGCATCTGCAATTAGAGTAACTCGACGCCAGGGCGATCGTCAGATATCAACCATTGAACGAGTGATTGAAACCGGCGTAATTTCGTTGAGTGCGGACTTGAATACCACACTCACGGCGTAATGATCTTCGCGTTTGTTTGCGAATCAAAGGGACCCAACAAGTCGGCGCGGGGTTGCGTTCACACGTGTCGCTCGCATCGTGAGAATTCAACGAAATTGCGTTTATCGAAGATTAGCGCAATTGTGTCGCTTTTAATTCCTCCTCATTCCCTTTTTTCTCAATCATATATACACACATATACTTTCTCTCTTATTCTCTCTCTCTCTCTCTCTCTCTCTCTCTCTCTCTCTCTCTCTCTTTCACTCTCTCTCACATTAACCCACGACGTATTCGTGGCTCGGTAACAGCGCTAAGAATCCCACGAACTGTTGCACATGCAACACGACCGGTTCGTCGCACATGCAGTGGCACCGAGGTGAAGGGTCGTTAGGAACTTATTCGTTGGTCGCGCACGAGTTTCCACGCGTACGATCCACACAGGCTACAGAGAACGGGGTAGTGGATAGTGCTCTTCGAGTTCCTTGAACGCTGACCCAAACTCACTTACCCCGTTCGTGTTGCCATAGACGAGGACGCGAAGAGAGAGAGAGAGAGAGAGAGAGAGAGAGAGAGAGAGAGAGAGAGAGAGAGA